GAGTGAAAAGCAGTCTTTATAATGATCTACAAAATCCTACAGGATGTGACCTGTCCTCATCCTCCAGACCTTATATCCCATCATTCTCTCCCCTTCACTTACTTCCTCCCTCCTCTCTAGCCCTGCAGTCCTCCTCCTGTTCCAAGCACCCTCTAGCCGCAGAACCATTGCCCAGGCCATTCCCTCTGCCTAGAAAACTGTTTCCTAAGGCAGCAGAAGCTGATGCCCTCTCTGTCTTCTCAATAAATCCTACCCTGGAGACCCTATTTATAAGTGCAATCTTCTCCTACCTCCCCAATACTCTCAAGCCCCCTTATCAGGCTCTGCTTTTCTCACAGCACTTATTTTAATATACAATTAAATTACTGTTTTCTTACACTTATTGTTTATTGCCTGTCTCCCCCAAAACCCTACCCGACTAGAATGTCAGCTCCCCGAAGGCAGATATTAATGTCTGCTTGTTGCATTACCTGAGTGCAGTGCCTGGCTCATAGGCCGACTCAACACATGTTTGTTGAATGAATGAACAAACAGATCATGGGATTTTCTGATGAGCTGCTATGAAGAAAAGATGGGCTGTACAGCCACAAACAAAATGGGTATTTCCCCCTTAATCTGTTTTTGTCCTCTGCCCAGGGAATTCTGACTTCAGCTCCATGTTAACCCATACATTACAGAGTTAAGAGAGGTGGAAAAGAGTTACATTAAGAGTTTTTTTCCTGGCTCGGTCACTTCCTAATTGTGTAAATCACTCTTCCTGGACCTCAATTTCTTCATCTGCGAATTAGGGGCAATGGTTCAAACCTTCAGGGAGAGATTAAATAAGAAGCATTTTAGTAGGATGCCTGTCATTTTGTAAATATCAGAAATCTTAATTAATTAGTGATATTATACAGCAGAGATGTCATGTTTTCTCCTCGAATCATCTTGGGCTAGGGTCTCAGAGTCAGATAAACTCCTGTCTCTAAGGAAAGTCCTGGGGGTGTTGGATGATGGTGGTCCGGGCTGGGGCCCTTGCCCGTACACCCTCCTTCCGGTTTCCTCATGGAACCATCTGATTTTCCCAGGTTTCTATTTCTTCTTCCATGCAGTCGCTTCCCTGTGACAATCTTTGCCAGCAAAGCAGAAAAAGCCAATCTGGGTCTCCTGAGGGTGGCTCCCTGCCCCTCCCTGCTCCACCCCGTCCTGAGGAATTTGGGTACCGCCTTTTAAGGAGAGGGGCTGTCAAAAGGAATGGGATGGGTGAGAAGCTGGCAAGGGTCAGGTCAGAGCTCCGGCAGGCTGGTGAGCGAGCACAGGTGGAGGAGGTGCGGCAGGGAGAGCGCGTTCCAGCCTCCGCGCCGCTGGCTAGAGCAGGTGCCAGCCAGGTGCCAGCCAGCTGCCTGGCGAGGGCGGCGGGCCCGCGGATTGGCCGGTTCGCATGGGGCGACATCAGGCGGTGGGGCGGGAGCAGCGCGCGGAAGGGGCAGGGCGGGCGCAGCCCGGGTGCGTCCAGCCCCTGCCCGGTTCCCCTTCTCCCCCAGGCGCAATTAGGCAAGCCTGTGAGCAACCAAGCCCAGCTACTGCCAAGTGGGTGACTAAGCTTGGGCCGGAAAAAGTGAATTTAGGAAGAAGAATAAAGGTTTGCTGCCGAGAGGTGGCAACCTCCAAACGGAGCCCCACCTGCCGCACCCCCGCCCCGCCCCGCAAAAAAAGGCAATCTGTGACCACTGTGCTGAATATTTTACATGCTCCAGCTTTTTAGACCTCCACAACAACCCATTTTTAATCCCCATTTTATAGTGAAGAAACCGAGGTCTAGAAAGGATAAGGGCTGCCCACCCTCTAAAGTCAGTAAACGGCAAAGTGACGCTTCCAATCCACAGCTCTTTGCCTCCGAGGGGATGGAACTAATTACCCTATACATTTTTTTAAGGACTACAAATTTTGTTAATAAAACATCTTAAAAAATTGAAATATAATCGACAGTATTATATTAGTTTCAGACTAATTTGATATATGTGCTTACTGTGAAATGATCTCTACAGTATGTCTAGTGAACCACCACTACATGCAGGACAAATATTTTTTTCTTGTGATGAGAACTTTTAGGATCTGCTGTCTTCAGCATATTCTTACTTAACCCAGATTTGCTTGAGGACTTGAAACCATTTCCCACACTGTAGACAGGGGCCCACACGCCTCAAACTCTACCTGCTGAAAACCACATTCTGCATCCTTCTATCCAAATCCACTTCTCCAGAATTCCTTATGTCATTAAATGGGCAAGTCAGAAGTTTAGAAAGGGTCCTCATTGCCCACCAGGTCCAGACTCTTCTGGGGGGCAGAGAGCTGGCTGTCCATACTGCCATATAAGCCAGCTCACCCTTCTGTCTGTCTTGAGAGGTGTTCCTTGGCTGGCTGGGAGACCCTTCTCTGCCCACCTGCCATCGCTTTTCCCCAGAGACCCCCCGCCCAGACTCCAGCCCTGCAGAGCAGGCCAGGCCTGTCCATCCTTGCCGGGTCCCTCTAGGTGGGATGTGACCCTGACCTCTTGCCTGCCCAGGCTCAGTGATCTCCAACATTTTGGCCTCAGGATCCCCAACTCTTCAAAATCATTGAGAACCCACCCAAAGCTTATTAATATTTACTGTATTAAAAATTAAAACTAAGTATATGTAAAACCATTATTTTAAACAATATAATCCCATAACATATTAACAGAAACATTCTTGTGAAAAATTACTATTTCCCAAAGCAAAAAATAATTAGAAGAGCGATGTTGTTTTCTATTTTTTGCAGATCTCGTTCATGTCCGGCTTAATGGAAGCCAGCTGGCTTCTCCCATTTGCTGCTGCTTTCAGTCTGCCCTGGTATTACTGTAGTTTCTGGAAGCCTCATTGTTCACTCTAGAGGGAGTGAGCAGAAAAGGGCGATACTGTCTCAGTACACTGGGAAGCTAGTTTTGACTTTGTGCCACGGAAGAGTCTCAGGCACCGTGCAGGGGTCCCCAGACCACAGTGGAAACAGCTGTCATTTTTAGAATTTTTGTCTTTGTTTTCTTCGTCTGGTACTAGCGGCTTTTCATTTTTAATTCACATTCTGGCAGTTATTTCTGCTCTGTGCTGATTATTATAGATAAAGGCTGCAAGTGACCTAGATTTCCAACAAAAGTAGAGTATAGGCAATTCCCTAACCAAACCAACAGAGCCATTTGAAATTTTATCTTCTTCCAAGCCACTATCTTTCCAACTACAATAAAGTCAGAAAAAAGTGATTTCTTTTCCATCATCTCATAGACCCGAAGGCAGTTACTGTTAACACCTGTGCATGTGTAAAACTGATGTCAGATCTTGGGCCTTAGACCTAAGAGGGGTCCCTGCCTATGGCAGGCAGAATAATGGCCCCCAGCCCTACCTCAAGATCTCCACATGCTAATGCCTGGATTTGTCAGTGTCCCTTACATAGCAAGAGGGACTTCACAGACATGATTTAGGTTAAGAATCTTGAAATGCGGATTATCCAGGTGGGTCAGTCTAATCACATGAACCCTTAAAAGGGAGATAGCCTTTCCCAGCTGTGTCGGAGGGACCTATGAATGTGGACGGACTGGCAGAGATGCAAAGACTGGCTTTGAAGATGTGGGAGGCGCACGAGCCAAGGAATGTGGGTGGCCTCCAGATGATGAAGAAGGGCAAGGTAATGGATTCTCCCCCAGAACGTCCAGAAGGAGCACAGCCCTGCCGACACTGTGAGGTTAGCTGCTGAAACCTGTGTTGGGCCTCTGACCTCCAGAGCTGCAGGGTAATTCTTTTTTGTAGTCTTAAACCATTAAGTTAGTGGTAATTTGTTACAGCAGCCATAGGAAGCTGACACACTGCCCTGGTCCCATGCTGGCCAGGCCCCTCTCTACCAGGTAAGGAGTTTATGGGGCCAAGGGCTATAACCCACTAAGGACTAGTGCACCAAGCAGCCAGAGTTCATTGCCAAAATGTTCCATGCCCACTGCCTCACCTGCATGGATCTGTTTCCTGGGTCTGCACTACAAAGGTGGGCCATGTGGCTAGTGTTTGCACCCCTGCACAGCTGCACAGGCTGGGAGGTTCACACATGTGCACATGAGGCTCCTCATGCTATGGGGAGGAGAGAAGGGGACAGAACAGGAGCAGAGCCGAGCTAGAGCTGTGCGATGGTGGGGAAGCTATGACCTCCACTTCAGGCTTCTCCTCCCCAACCTACAGTTCTGAGGAGCCCAAGAATTCTACACTTCATCCTAAACTTCGAAGGCATAAGAAAAGCATATATGTTGGGGAAGAATGGAACATATTTTATTTAACAGTTTGTTAGTTTGATTTATAATTTGTAAATATTTAGACATATGGGATGTGAGACCCCATGAGTCCTCTTGCCTGGATCCTAGAAATATCTGTGGGCAGGCCAGGTGTGTGCTTTAGACTGTTTTCTATGAATCTGTGCATCCATGCATGTGCATAAACATATTTTTTATAACATTTGCTCATACAGTAAGTATTGGATTGTAACCAGCCAGAATTCTCTTAGGCAAGCCACCAGTTATGAGGCCTTTAGGTGGTTTCCAACTAATTCCCCACGGTTGTACTTTCAGGTTGTTTAAACTGATCTCTGTTGTGAGGCATTTAGACTGTTTCATGTTTTGGGTTTTGCAGTCCAAACAAAACAGGCACCACAGGCTAAAACTGAATGAAAAATAAATAGCAAAACATTAGAATCCTTTGTCTTCAAACCAGGGAAATTCTGAAATAGACTAAAATGCTTAAAGGTAGATTTCAAAAGTCACAAAATGACTCAGTGCATCCAAATGACCAGTATGTGCTAGAAAACTCAGGACCTGGAACCCTTTGCCTTTGACATCCCTTTGTTTTCTCTCTGTAGCCTTCTCAGCCGACTGTTGTTTCAACTGAATTTGCTTTGCCCAAACCCTGGAGCCAGAACCACCTGCATCTGCCCCAGTCTATCCTGCTCTTTCTTCTGCCAGAACCTGGGGTGCTGCGGACAGGTGCTGGGGGCTCGCAGAGAAGGAGAGTGCAATCATAGAGCCTCTGGACTGCAAGAGCTAAGGCTTTTGTCTATTGACCTTAAGCAAAGCTACCCCAAGGTCAGTGTGTCCCCGGGGGCTGCACTACACTAATTAAGAGAGAGTGTCTTTAAAGAGGTGATTACATTAAGTGAGGTCATATGGGTCAACCCTAATCCAGTATGACTGTTTTCTTTATAAAAAGAGGTTTACACACACACACACACAGTAGTCACAGGGAGAAGGTGGTCGTCTACAAGCCCAGAAGAGAGGCCTCAGAAGGAACTGACCTGGCTGACCCCTTAACCTCATACTTCCAGCCTCCAGGACTGTGAGAAAACAGTTTCTGTTGGGTCTGAGCTACCCAGACTGTGAAATATATCTCAATGGAGAGTCTGTGGAGTTGTTTTTTTTAAACGTCTCTGCATGAAAAGAAAATCCTAGTAAATGTTCTGTCTAAAAATGAATTCTGCATGGCCTGGCAAGGCTGGGTGGGAGGGGACGAGGGCAGAGGGGGAGGATAAGCAAACAGAAGTGCCTGGCCAGGATTGTTCTCACTCAGGAGTGTGCAGGGCATGGGAGGCCAGGGACGGTGTGTCTTAATGAGCTCTGGGCCTGTGGAAGTGGTTCAACTGTGGGTCTCTGGGTTCTGGCGGGGAGTTTGGCCTTGAGCCACAAGGCAGTGGGGAATGTTGGAAGCGTTAGTGCAGGGAATGACCTGGGTGGTTCCAGGCTGCTGAGTGAACAGACCAGTGACAGGGGGCAGGGTGGGTGGCAGAAACCAGAAGGAATCTGTTGCTGAAGCTCCCGGAGGGTCACGGAGAGCTTGACCTTGGGCAGGGCCACTCCTAGGGGCTCTGGAGCCAGGCTGCTGGGGTTTGAATCTGCTCTGACACTTAGCAGCTGTGAGAACTCAGGTTACTTGTTTAATCACTCTGTGCCCCAAATCCTGGCCACAGGGCAGGGAAAATCACTAGCGACTACCTCACGGGCTGCCTTGAGGGCTGACTGGGTTAATGTGTGCCCGCAACTGGTAGCGGTGTCTGTGCGTGGTGAGCACTTTCCTGGGCTGGGCTCACTGTTTGTTGTTCACTGTACCCAAGGCTGGACACCTGATACATGATAAGCTTAATCCATCCTTGTGCAGTCATAGAAAAGGTGTGCAGTGCCAGGATGCTGGCTAATTTAGGTAAGAGAAGTGGCTGTCCCAAGGCCACACCATCAGAAAGGTGAGGGGCTGGAATGTGAACCCAGGTCTACCTGGTTCCAAAACAAGCATTCCTAACATCTATGCCAGTAGATAGTACCCCGGGGCTTGGTACTTAGAAGGAGCTAAGTGAATTGCTTCTAAGTGAGTTGACTAAGGTAAATAGAGGTTAAATGACTTCCCCAAGGCCACCCAGCTCATCGGTAGCAAGGCTGGGAAGAGAACCTGGCCTTCTGATTCCACAGTGAAATCTCAGTACTTTTCTAGTACACTGGAAAGTGGGCAGTCTTACTAGTTATGTGGGCACTGAAGCAAATTTGCCATGCCAAAGAGAAGAACTGAGTTCAAGACCAACCACTCAAAAATACTTTGTTGAAGGTAGCTCTGAGGCAAAGGCTTGCACAGATTTAAACTTCATTAAACTTCAAAACTGCAACCAGGGCAGGCACCACACTCTTACTGAAATAAGCTTTTAATTAGGTGGTGCTGGGGACTGATATTCATGACATTTGGGAAAATAAACCAACAAAAACCAGGATAAAATGCTCTGCAAGTTGGGAGCCTCTGCAATTTCTGGGTCCAGGCACAGAGATATCTACGGAGTAAACGCTCTTGAACGAGCAAGGATGTGGTGGTGCCTTCATTCCTTCAGGAAGCGTATCCCAGAGCCTCCCAGCTGGGGCCTAACGCTCTGCTGTTCTGTACGGCCTGTGGCATTTCACTTCATTCCAGCGGCACTACCGATGAACCTCGCTTTAGGTCAAGGCCGTGACAGACCAGTCACAAGTCACTGACCTGACAGTGTCAGTGGTTCAGTACAGGCACGAAGTGAAGAAATCAGGCTTCGTGAGCCTGACAAATCTAGTTTCAAATTCCAGCGCCATTGTTTTCTTAGCCATCGATCTCTGGGCACCTAGCTTCTTTAAACCTGTTTGCCCCATCTGTAAATGAGGATAGGAAAGGGTCAGTAAGACATCTGACTCTTAATCATGCTAATAAAAATTAGTATCACTATTAACTTTCCAAAAAGCTAGAGAGAAATAAAACAAACGTCTCTTAAACCATCAAAATAGGTATTGTCTGCACACTGTAGTTCATAAGTTCTGTAGGCAGGTGAGTGCATGCTTCAGACCTTCACTAAGAGCTTCAAAATTCTTGCTGTGGTTGACTGTTTTATGGCCTGCCACACCCTCTTTGAATGACTTTCACTTAAGAAAGCAGGGCTGTATGTAATCTATTTTCAAATACGTTTGTTTAAAAGGATTCAAATTTCATAGGTTGGAACTTGTAAGAAAATAGAAAAAAAGAAAAAATTATATATATATATATATTGATCTCTGCCTCCAGTTCCTGGCACAGAGCTCTAGATACCCTGTAAATTCCTAAGTGATTAAGGGCACTGGGAACATCCCTTGTTCCTTTGTCTTTGACCCTTATTTCTGACAGAGAACTCCTAAGGCCCTTGGACTTTCTGGGTGATAGGTATGTCTTTTGTTCTAATGAGATAACTCTGGGTGAGCTCCCGGATGGGGGCTGGTCACTAGAAGGACCACACCATGCTTAGAAGTATGGAATTTTCAGCCACACCTTTCATTCTCTGGAGAGAGAAGGGGGCTGGAAATGGACTCAAAGACAGATCATGCCTGTGTGAGGCAGCTGCCATAAAACCCCAAAAGCACAGGGTTTTGAGAGTTTCCAGGAGGTTGGTGCACCCCAACTCCATGGGACAGAAGCTCCTGTGCTTGGGACCCTCCCTATGCACTTCATCTGGCCATTCATCCGTATCTTTTATCACATCCTTTAATAAGCTAGTAAACCTAAGTAGTGTTTCCCTGTGTTCTGTGAGCTGCTCCAGGAATTCAACTAAACCCAAGGAGGGAGCTGCGGGAACCTCCAATTTGTAGCCAGGTGGGACAGAAATTGTGGGTAATCTGGGGACCTATTACTTGCGACTGACATCTGAAGTGCAGGGCCAGTCTTGGGGGACTAGCCCTTAACCTGTGGGACTGGACATACTCCCCAGGGGGATAGTGGCAGAACTGAGTTTGACTGGAGGACACCCAGCTGCTGTTGGAGAACTGATTGGTGTGGAAAACCGCCCCCCAGCCCCACCTGGTATCAGAAGTGCTGTGAGTGTGGGTGAGTGTGCGAGTGGAAAAGAAACACAGGAGGAAGAGTGGGTTTTCTGGCCCAGATCTTTATGTTCCTTGACCTTCACTATATACACCTTAAAGTAAGAAGGTAGGATTTTATGGAAAGAATATACATAGGCTTTGGATTCTCATAAAATTAACTGAAAAACAGGGACACACAGGAAACCCTTCCTAATGTTAATCCCCCTTGTTTTATGACCTGTCACATTGTCAGTGACTCATCTCTCTGCCCTAGGCCTACTTTGATTCTGTTAATCACAGTGAAACAGAAGTTTCAGGACACCCAAAGGCTGAGAGTAGTAGCTTTGTCCACATCCTAGGCAAAGCTAAGCAACATTCAAAAATTTCTCACAGCACTTCCAGTCCTCTGCCCAGGGCAGGTGTTTTAAAATGTAGATTTCCTTATTATTCAGGTATGGTGAGCCTCACAGTCCAGGAGATGACTGCCATTGAAAAGACAGTTTGTTACTCCCTGTTCCCAGGGGCGGGGAGCGCACCATACAGGGCAGGGAAGCACCAGGGCTGGTCAGGAGGCAGAGAGGGCAGGAGAGGAAGACACTCCTGCACTGTTTCTGTAGGAGCAACAGACGAGGCAGGTTAAGCAGGCTGACAGCTGATTAGTCCGGATAATTTCAGCAGGCTCTGGGGCATAGGGGCTGGGCCATGTTGGCTGGTATCTGGGCCTGGGGTGATTAAGGAAGAGGGATATTGGCTGGGAGTGCAACAGCCCTTGAGGGCTCAGAAAGCAGAAGTTGGGGCTGTGGGGCTGTGGGCTGGTTGGTTTGCGTAGGCGAGCATTTGCTGGCGCGTCCTTCACTACCTCTGCAAGCAGCAAGCCCTGGGAGTAATGGTCTCTCTGGGGTCAACAAGGCCCCAAGACGTCAAAGCATCAGAAAGTATAAAAAGTGAAAAGCATGACTAAAACAGCAGGGCAGCGGCCTTGCCTCCATGATGGCTCAGAGTAGTGGGCCTGCAAGGTACAACCCCGAGCAGGTGACCGCTTTGAAGGTGCAAGATCTCCTGAGTCCTTTCATGCCCTCCTGGGACCCGCGTCCCAAGCTGCCCACCTCATCTGCTGTGCAGAGCAGCTGGCTGGTGGGTACCTCCCATTCGCTCCCAGCAGCACCGCACTCAGCAAGGACAGTCTCCTGAACAGGAAGCTTTGCGTGAGAACCCCTGCAGGCGGGACATTTCCTCCTTCCTGGTAAACATTTTGGCTTCTGTTTGTTTATTTTCCAGGAAAAGGACAGCACCAAGACTGGTGGACCTACTTCAAGGTTTGTTAATTCTGTTTGTTTTCTAAGAGGAGGAGCTGCCACCAGCTCTGTCTGTCTGTCCTGTTCTGTGCACCCTCTCTACCACCATGACCGCAGTTCACAGCTGAACTTCGATCCCAGCTGGGGCTAGGAGCAGCAGACAAGCCTTGCTTACACATGTCTCTTTCTGACCCCAGGGGCTTTGTCCTAGGCTCTTCATGAGGATCTGGGGAAACATTAGGAGGCCTGACTGCAGTGAGGACAGAAACCCTGTTCGAGGCACCAGACATGTGGACTTTCTCTTCTCCAGGGAGATGCTGGGGATGAGGCAGAATCTGGCCAGCAGTTCTGCATCTGGGACAAATGGGAGGAAGTGCATCCCAACGTGATTTGGTGAATGCACACTATTCATTAATAGGGTACCTCACTTACTTGGCATTGTTTTGTTTATTTATATATTTAAAAACAATGACAATATTGAATAGTTGCTTTAGCATTGCTAAAAAGAGCACTTATCAATATTTACCATTTAACTTTTATTTGGAATGTTAATTATACCTACAGAGGTCATGGCATCATGAGCTAAGCTTTTACAGAGCATCTGTGAGGGAGGAAGGCCAATAGAAGACCGAGTTGGAGCCTCTGCCCACCTCCCAAGGCCCTTGGAATCCTAGCACTGGTGTGTAGGAGCAGAGAAAGGCCCAAATCCCTGAGGCTTCAAGTCCTCTGGAGAGGCCCGTGGATGCCTAGGGAGGCTGGCCTGGCCCAGGTGGGGGAGCTGGCAAGCTCGTTTCTGCTCTGAAGGACAGGGCAGAGCCAGCAGGAAGAGGGGAGGGAGTCTGACCAGGAGAGAGGAGGCCAGGCTCGCGACGGACCACTGTCCTCTCAGAGCTGCTGAGAGGTTAGGTAATGGGGGGTGGAAGCCACAGCTCTCCACGCACTGAAGACTGGTAGGGAAGGCAACTGAGACGGAGAAGGCTGATGGCTGTTGTCACACCGGCTTCCTCTTCTAAGAGGGTGAGTTCTAAGGAGAGCTGGCCATCTGCCCTTGACTGTGATGTGTGCCAGACTGCTAACTCTGAGAGGCTCAGGGAGAGCTAAATTACTTCGAAAGAAGAAAAGGAAGAGCTTTAGGGGTATGGGAGACAGGGAGGCTCAGAGCTCTGGAACCCAGAAGTGAAACGACCTGGGGCCAAAGCCCCAGGTGGGAAAGCAGAGTGTGACGGAACGGGGCCTGCCAGAAGGTGTTGCTGTATAGAACACAATGGTACTGTGATATTTTGAGTGAAATGTTGACACCACATTAGTGGGATGTTTCAGGCTTACTTTTCCCAGGATCCAGCGAAGTGTTGGGTCTCACTCTGAGGTGGCGTACTCATGTCTGTGTCTTAGGCCCCGGCAAGTCCAGTGGCCGCGTCTGAGCCTAATCCTGTTTGTTTCCTCAGAGGAGGAGCTCTTCCTGTCTGTCTCACGCTATGGGACTGGAAGTGCCTCCAGTCAGTACGTCCTGTCCATCTCTGTGCCTCTGGGGACAGTGCAATGCTGGGCACAGATCAGGTGCTCAATTAATTGTGTTTGTTGGGTAAAAGCGTAGGTTTGGCTTGTCTTTCCGTCGCCACCATCCCAAGCCCCGGTTGCCCCAGGACTGTTGCAGCATCTTCTCCCCAGCTCTGTCCTGCTGGGGTCTCCCATTGCAAACCCACCCCGTAGTCCATTGCCCATGTCACTGATTTCCAACACCACTTTACTTGTAGCTTTCATTGACTTATTACACTTTACCACTTACACCCTTCACTCCTTGGAAATCCTAAAGGGCTCCTCATGGCGTTGAGTCTTGTCTTCACGCTTCATCCTGAGGTTTAAAGTCACACCAGGAGTTCTCAAGATGAAAAGAACTCCAGTATGTAAAAAAAAAACCCTTGCAGAACCTTCAGAACGATGCACCGTTAGCTCCTTGGGGCGTCACTCCTCTTTCCAGGTTCCCCTGCCCAGATGCACCACAGAGCGCACTTTCCTCCTCACATGGGCAGCATTGGATTTGCATTGGCCAAAGAAGTGGAAGTGAGTTTGTCATTGGGTGGAAGCTTTAAAGATGTAAGCCTCGTTGGCCGTGTTCCTTCTTTTCCCTGAGCAAAGTGAGCACGGCCCTCCACTGGGGTGAGGAGCCCACCATGCATGCGGGAGGAGCTGCTATTCCCGTTTACAAACAGCAGTCATTACCATGACAGATGACAGAGAAGGGAAGGAGGGTGAGAGGGTAGAAGTCACTCAGCTGCTCAGGGTGGAATCGAGACCCCCGTAGTTCCAGTGGGCCATCTCGTCACCCAGGCAGCGCCACTCGGTCCCTCCAGGAAGACACATAGGCAGAATGAAAAGCACACGAGGTTTGTTTCCTGTTAGAACTACTTCCAATACCAGCTTTGCCCTGTACCGAGGAGTCCCAGTTGGCAAGGACAACAGAGCTTTGTGCCATTAGTTAACGGGAAGGTGGAGATAGGTGAGGTGGGTGCAGGGGCAGGAGGGATGCAGGCACTTAGGACAGGTCACTTAACCATCTCTTTCCCACAGTCTGGCCCTTCTCCTTTCCCTGGGATTGGCCACACCCACTCTCACCTCTGCGGTCTTGCTCACACTGTTTCCTCTGACTGTAAATGCCTTGCCATCTGCTCCTCTGACCCCTCTCAAAGTCCGGCTGCATTCCCAGCTTCTCCACGCTGCCACCGTCTGAGTTCCAGCTCACGCTTTTCTTTCCCATCGTGGGTCTTTGCCAGCACTTGACATTCAATCAGACATGATGGCTTTAATTGTTTCACCAGTGAGAGGTTTATCCCCCTAATTACCTAAATCTAATTAGACAAACCTTGGAGCATCAGCCAGCCTCCTGCCTCTTGTATCTTTCCTGGAGCTTGACCAGCCCCAGCTCTGTCCCAGTGAGTGAGTGACTCTGTCCAATCACTGGACCTAATTCCTCTGCTACACACATGGAGAATCACTGGACAGGCTCTGAAGACTCTCCCACTCATGGACACCAGGTGAGTAAATTCAGTGAGCTGAGTCTGCAGATAGGAAGGGACTCGGGTAACTTGCTGAGTTTCTTGAGCAGCCCTATGGACCAGGCATTGTATCTGAACCTTGCATTGTCTCTAGCTGTCAGAAGGACCCTAGGTCATGGATGTTTACAGATGAAGGGCACAAATTTGGGAGGTATTCAATAACTTTATTGGCAATAATCAGCTGACAGTGATTTCCTATTAATAAGTAAATAATTATGTTCGAGGGACTGTGCTAGGGATTCAGGGAGGTGAATAAGGCAGACTTGATCCCTGGATTTGTGGAGCTCACAGCCCAGCTGACAAGTGAGACAGTCTGTGATCATTCTGTCAACTGTCCCTCTTTGGGCACCTTCTTGCATCACTATATTCCGTCTGAGAAGCACCATCTCCAATTCAGCGCCTTTCCTGGGCTGTCACCAGGTAGCTCTACAGACACCATCTCATTTATGTCGTAAAGTATTCTGAAGAAGAAGTATTATTATTGTTCACTGATGTTCTTTAGGTGCTGTGCACAGTGTGTGGCACACTGCAGGGGGAGCAATTAAATTTTAATTGAATGAATTTCCATTTTACAGATGAGGTTCACAGAGTCTGGCCCCTACCAATGGAGAATGTGCAGCTGGGACCCAAGCAAAGAGTGCATTTGGTTTCTTCATGTTACTTCTCAAAAGCGACACCAGCTCTCGGCCTTCCGCATTTACCTTCAGCCTCTTCCCCCAAAGACCACATTTCTGTTTGTGTCTTTTGGCCCCTTCTCAGCCAGCCGCCGTGGGCGGGGCTCCCCTCGCGGATCCGCGGACTGCGACCCAGGCAGTGCTACCGCCAGAGGGAAGGGAGAGGAAGGCGGGTGGGGCACCGTCCTGGACGCGCCCATCGACAGGAGCACAACTCCCCTCCTCAGCTCTCTTTGCAAGTGGCCAACGTTGCTCTGGGAGAGAAATTCAACTGGAAACCTAAAGAAATGTCCTCAGCAAGAATCTGACTCCCCACTGGCAACAAAGATAAAAAGCAAAACAGTACCCCCACAGCTTCTAAGAGACATTAAATGAGCTAATTAAAATCAGTCCTATTAAAATGTCCAACTAATCTAAACACAAAGGTTCCTGGTTTCCAGTCTTTCTGGTTCTAATCCAACAGCTCTCACTACAGAGGCCTTCATGCCGCCTGTGGTGGTTGGGGTTTTGTCTTTAAGTGTATTTGTAAAGTAAATCTTGTTGAGTTCCTTACCACAGACCGTTATCTTGCCTGAGATGTCTGGAGCTCCGCTGGCTAAGCACATCTTTTACACCTTAGCCCTCTCAATGAACTTGCAGAGAAAGGTATCTGTTCTTCTGCTCTAGTCTTACAGCACCGGATATCTACCCAGCCATCCACTCCCTCATTCATTCACTCAGCAAGCATTAATTGAGAACAACCACAGGTCTGGCCCTATCTTGGCACAGCAGATATGGAGCTCCCAGCCTAGCAGTGGGGAGCTTGGGGAGGATGGGCAAGTGATCAGGCCATTGGAGTATAGAGGCTGCCGGGCCCTGTGCCCTCCTGGTCCCTCCAGCTTGGGCTCCATCAGTGACCTTCCCTTTTCTGCGATATGACCAGCTTTTCCCTTTTCTCTGCTTCTCTAGCAGCTCTTGCTCAAAGCCCGTGTCATACCACAACACTCCCCTGACCTGGTGGTCCTCCGGGATAGCAACCTTCTCCCTCCTGACCCAGACTTGGAAGCAGGGTACTCTCCATTTTCAGTGTCCGCCTCCTCACCTTCACTTCCTTCCTAGATCCTCGGCAATCCATCCTCATGGGCTGGCTCAGCCGGGCTCATTTGCCCTTTGGCTTCTGGTTGGGCTTGGCCATTGGGAGGCCCCAGAAGGCTGTCAGAGAGCAGGAGGAGAGAGAAGCTGGGGTATTTGTCCTTCTTCCTCCCTCGGGGGCTGGCCACAGGTCCTTCTACCAAAGTTTCTAGTTCCAGGGGTGGTGGGGTGAGGTCTCTGGTATTGAAGTCACAGCCACCGCTTCCTCCTGGGTACCGGTAACGGTCTCCCCCTATGCTCCTTTGGTCTAGGAGAGGTGGTGGCTCCTTGGCTCAGAGCTGCTCGCCTGGGTGTCTGACTACCTCGTGGTGACTTCCTTTAACCCCGCCCACATCCCTGTAATAGTCCCTTCATCAGACTCTTCAATCACCCTGCCCAGCTTCCTGCCAGCATCTCACTCAAGGGCTGCAAATGAGGCCACCGCTTCATCGGCCCCGTCCCATCATCAGGCACTGCATCCTGGCAGTATCCCTCTGCCCGGGGTTCTCCGTAGGACCCAGATTTCCTCACCTCCATGCCTCGGCCTGTGCTAACCCTCTGCCTACATCCTCTGAGGGCTTCATCTCATCCCAGAGGCTTCTACCTGCCCCAAGCTAGGCTTAGGGTTCTGTATGCTCTCATCGTTTCACAAATTCTTATTCAACTCCTCATTCATCTTGGCACCTAGGAGCACAAAATATAATGACAGATGGCTTGGATTCAAACCCTGAATGATTTCCCCTCTGGAAAACAAATGCCCCTACCTGGTAAAATTTCGGTATTGGTAAAGTGAAGGAATGTGTGCTGCATGCATGATGTGGTGCCGCACACCCAGAAACGTTCGGTCCCTGTGAGTTTTGAGTCAGTGCCTACTTGTTGCTCTTGGCAAAGAGCTCCCTGAAGGAAAGGACTTCTTCTTATTCAATTTGGATCCCCCAAACAGAGCTTAGTCACTGTCGTAGAGTAGGTGCTCAATGAGAAAATGTTGAGAGAAAGAAGGAATAAAAGAGGGGAAAAAAGGAGGAAAATAAGGAGAGAGGGAGGGACAAGGAATGCCAGACTAGAGAGAAGCACAGGGCAATGGAGTCAAGAAAAGGAGTCCCTGCCCAGCTGGGAGCAGAAGCAGTGGAGGGTGGGGGAAAGAGCTTTAGAGAAGGAGACTTAGCATCGTCCATGTGCACAGTGTGGGTGAAGAGCGATCCAGGCAGGAAACGAGCATGTGCAGTGAGCGAGGGCAGGGTGCTTGAGAGGGCACAGGGCACTCTGTAAAGTGAAGGTGGGTCCTGCCTGGCCATGGTGCTGAGCAGGGGCTGGTGGGGTGAGGGGAGAGGGGACACTGTGAAGACATGCAGAGCTCTGAACACCTCCTGTACCCGGCACTAAATTTGGATTGTATTCTAAGGCAATGGAGAGCCACCGAAAGTTTGAATCAGGGGATTGAACTGACCACATGTGCTGCCGATCACTCCTATCCTCCAGCACAAGCCTGACAGAGGACACCTGTCCAGCATCAGCCTTTCCTAGCTGGCATCAACCCTCACCAGCTTTCATCTTCAACACTGGTCACTTCCAGGGTGACCACTGGGATAATGAACTTTGGAGTAGGACACATCTAAGTTCTAGGTTATTCAACCTCCTGAAACCTTATTTTTCTTGCCTGTAAAATGGGCAAAAGGTACCACACCTTCCTGCCAGGGATGTTAGGAGATAATGTAAGGCTCCTGGTGCCCCACCAATGTCGCCACTTTTCCCGGGGTTATGTTACCCCTTCTGCACTTTGTTAAGCAGGCTGCAGCTCCGCCCCGTGAGATGCTTCTGAGGAATCAGAACAAATCCAGTCATCTGTGCCAGTCCCTGGCAGGCTCCAGAATGTGAAGAGCCTTGGGGTGTTTTCACCAGAAGCTATCAGGATTGTTTTAAGTTTCTTTTTATCTCTCAAAGTGAAGAAAAGTGTACTTAAGCTCTGGGAAAAGAAAGCTACATGATATCCTCAAATAGTGGCAGAGGGATAATTTGTTTCCTAGTTAGAGTTTGTTTTGCATCTCTGGCAGCATTCAGAGCTGACAGGGAACCACACACAGCCCCAGGCTGTCTTTCACCTCTCCTTCATTTTAAGCCACTTTAAAAGTTGATATTGTCTTGAGCATCAAGAAGCCATTCTTGTGTAAGTCTTCTAAAAGAATCAAGCTTTTCTGACTTAGTTCCAAGGAGACAAGGGATCATCCTGGTTCTGAGTGGGATGACTATCACTGGTCACCTTCTTACCTTAGTGAAAATGTCAACTCCAAGTTCACATTCTAGTGCAATCACTCTTCCTAATGATTTTTTAAACATTTACCTCTTTGCCTGGTAAACATAGCGTTCTTCATGTAATTGTAGATTAATGAAACCAAAATTTAAAAAAAAATTTACACATGAAAAAAAAACATTTACCTCTTTCACTGATAAAGGAATATTAGTCTGAACCATAAGAAATTGCTATTTGGTGGGTCAAAAATGACAGAATCTTGGTGAGTTCATATCGTGTAGCTTAATACAAAGCATAACAAACCAATTTTAAAAGTACAAAGGATAGATAGCTCTGTCTCCTGTCCCAATTTCCTGCTTCCTTTCCTCAAAGGTAATATCTGCTGCTAGTGATTTGAGAAAAAAAATTGTACGCAACTTGAGAAATATATCACACATATATTAGTTTACAAACATGTGGAAGCATGATACGCAAACTGTTTGGTTTTGTTTTAACCTGTTTTTCTTTAACTGCATCTCTTAGGAAACATTCCAGCTAACTCATTCATGCTTTCTCATCAGTACGTGTGGATTTATTGGTGGTTTCCAGTATTTTGCTATTATAAACAATGCCACAGAGAGCGTCCTCACACACACCTCTGTTACAGGCACGTACATGTAGCGTGTCTCTGGGAGGGAAACTATTAGGCTAAAGGGCTTGTGATTTTAAATTTTGAGAGACTGGCAAATTCTCCTCAAAATGGGATGTACTAATTTACATTCCCTCCAACAGTGTGTGCCTTTTACACTTGATACTTGTCGATCTCATGCCTTCCTTCATGACTTGCAGATATTTTTTTGGTGCATAAATAGCTCATATTAATTAACAAAGCTAAACTACAGTGATGATCCTCAGAGGGCTGTCCACTGGCCTGTCAGCTGTCAGATCCTTTCTTCATCCTCTCCAAGGCTGCATTGCGTTAGGTGTGTGTGTGTGTGTGTGTGTGTGTGTGTGTGTGTGTGTGTGTACTGAAGCAAACACATTTCCCAGGCTCCCTTGCCCACTGGCTTCAGGTTAGGCTTGGACATAAAACATGAAGGGCGCATTCTTTTTGCCCCACTCCTTCTCTCTGTTTCTGGTGGCATTTCTAGCAGCCAACTCCAGTTTCCCTCAGCAGGCTCCTCCCTCCAGGGTCCCAGCTCCAGCTGGTGCCCTGGCCCCTGGGCTCTGGTCACTCCACCTGTACCCTTTGTCCCTCCAGCCCTGGGGCTGCTGGTAGGTATCTTCTGGCCATCGGGCTCCTCATTAAGCCTTTTTGCCCCTTTAGCTTTTCCAGTATCTTTGCAACCGGTTTCCTGCTTAAAATCACCTCTTTTGAACTATATGCTTTAGTTTTGTGTGTTTGATCCTGCATCCTCCCCCCTCCTCCATTAACCGGACACTGCACTAGTTGTTCGGTTGACAAAAAGTTGAACCAGAGTTGACAAAAGTGAGGAGAAATGGCCACATTCTTACACTGTTGGTGGGAATGAAAATTGTTGCAGAACTTTTTTGGCAGGCAGTTGGGCAATATGCTCTGCAAGCTTTAAAAGCGAGCATGCTCTTGCCCTATCTTTTAGAGATATGTGTTGAAATATTTATGAATGAAATGATGTAAGTCCAGGGTTTCCTGTAGAACAATCTAGGGGAGAGGATAACTGGGACTTCCTACAGATGAAATGAGACGGGCTGTGAGCTGAGAGCTGTTTACGTTATGTGAAGGATACTTCAACATTCATTACACTCATCTCTTTAGTTATGAACACTTGAATTTTTCAATAATAAAAAGCATTATTCAAAAGCAAATCTTGGACCTTACAGTGTGCTTTCTAAGAATATATCCTAAAGAAAAAAAAATCCTAAATGTTAAAAAAAAAGATTTGTCTCTAAGGATGGTTTCTAACAGCCTCGTTCTAATAATGAACAATTGATAATGATCTAATTGTCCAGCCGGGGGGACCATGATTTACAGTATATCAC